CCCCAAAACCCCAAAACCCCAAAACCCCAAAACCCCAAAACCCCTTACTTATCCTGCTTTGTTGGAATTAATTTGGAAATTATTCTTTGACAATGGTATGCTCAACTCTTTGACATGTGTCTTCGAGAAGCTTAACAAGACCTTCTTCTGTCTCTTCTCGATCTGTTTTCTCATGCTCAAGATCAGAAATGAGATTAGCTTGGGCCTCTTCAATGATTTTTAACAAGTTCTCTTCTCCTTTATTTCTATTCTCAATTTCTTCATATAAAATTTCATGGAAGCTTCCAATTTCTTGAGATAATTTCTGTATCAATTTTTCTATAATTTTAAGGGAAATGGTTACCTGAGTTCTCTTCAGTAGTATTTTTCTCGAACTCGATCTCTTCTTTGAGAGCCTGAAGTTCTTCAATAAGATCATTAAAGTATTGGTCTTCATCTTCCTCCCTTGCTTTCTTCTCTTTGGCAAGAGAAAGTGTGAGAGCAAAGATCTTTTCATCAACTATAGACTGTATATGAGTGTCAGATTCTTTCCTAGCTTCATGCTCCTTTTCCAGCACCATTGTGCTGATCTGCTCGAGGTTCATATACTTGTTACTATTGGGCACAGGGTAGATATTAGACTCAAGCTCTTCCTCAAATTCTTCTCTAATCCTCTTCTCTTCATCAATATCATCATAAAGTCTGTCAATTTGCTCTTTAAGAATTTTGAATTGGATGTCATTTGCTACTCCTTTCTGCTTAACCTTCTCTTGGAGGTTATTAATCTTCTGCATCAGAGATTTCTTCTTGGAATTCTTATCTTCTTCAGCTCTTTTGTTAATATTCCTAAACTTTTCACCAAGGGCTTGGATCCTTGTTCTGCTTGGAGAGACGCCTATAGTGAGATAATTACCCGCACATAGAAGTTAAGCCCAATTTTTGCGTTCGCAAAAATTGTGGGCTTTCTTACCTGTGTCCTGTGGAGTCATTGAATTTCTATTCTCGCTCATCCTCAGCATCAAGTTACCAAAGTTAAGACTTTGCGAAGGCAAAGTCTTACCTAGGTTGCTCTTGGATGCAGATCCAAGAGCGCTAGCTACGAAACTTTGCGATTCATTTACAGGATAAAGAGGAGTATTCCTTGGAGAACTCATTATGAATAATATTTCAAAATTTACCCAAAATAACGGGGTTTTGGGGTTTTGGGGTTTTGGGGTTTTGGGG